TTAAAGCCGTGGCAAATATTTTTCCAGACGGTGGCCATTGCATTTTTGCTCCATTTGTAGACTGGAAGGATGTAGTTTCGTCGCCCAGCTTCTGAGTTGAGTGCATGGCGTGACACTGTGAGCTGCGTTTGTTTTTCGTTGGCACAGGAGCGGAGCATGTGTGGGGTGACCCGTTTGCTATGAAGCTGAAACTAGGATTACCAGATTACCAGATTACCAGATAACATGTCATGTGAAGACCTTAACTTTGTCAAAACAGGTACATGCGAGTGTGTGTATATAGTGTGTATGCATTCACAAGCTATTCCTGTGATAATTAAATTTCTCGGTAAATTTTCATTAAAACATTCACAAAATCTAACATTCAAAATGCTTACATTTATCACAACAGTTAGCATCAGTAATCAGTGTTTAAAACAATTCAAATAGAAGGCAGACATGAATATGGCTATGATCACTGTCAGGAAAAAAAAGCATGTCAGCTCTTTGCTGGCTACTGAGGAAGGGGACAGAGCACATGTGAGAATGTTCTGAATGCAATGATGTAATTCTTGATTCATTCATTCAGAAAAAAAAAAAAACAATAAAATACAAACATTATAATGCATAACTGACTGCCAAATATTCCAGGTAATCAATTGTGTGCTACAAATGTTTCTGAGTCCATTATTGAAACTCACAATGGGAAAGGATTTGGTATTTCAACTGTAATTCACCCCAAACAAAAGGAAATCAGGGAGTTCCCCGGAAAGTCCAGTAGTGTAGGGGTGTTATGGGTTAGAATTAGTCTGAGTTTCTGAGGCAGTCGGGGCTGGTAAAGATCGGTTTCATTTTTGTGCCAGGGCACACAGGGGTTCTCTTGCTATTGTCTTACCAAATTATAGCTTCAGTATTCACTTCAAACCATAAACCACTAAAATATTAAACTTTCCTGGTAACTTCCAGATTTCTTTTGTTTGGGGCGAATTAAAACTGAAGTAACAAAGAATATTTTGAACAAAATATAAACCATTGTCAGAAATAATGATACAATAGAAATTAATCTTGTTTCTCTCTTTGATAATTTGAATTTTGATATACAGCTCTAGTCGATCACCGGGAAGCTATTTTCAAACAAGTTAAACATAAGAAATCTGTTATTTAGGAAGAATCCTGATTTACAGAGTGAGCCAAAAATATAGCTACACGTTTAATTGCACATTTATTCTTCTTTTTTTTTGTCCCACTGCTTATGCCACAAAGCACCGCAAATAGGAGTTGTATGTAGTGTCCTGTCTTTTGCTAGTTGCGTGTCTTAACGTCACACTGGTTTCCATCATTGTGACATTATATCAAACCAATGGTCTGAGTTAGAAGCGCAGAAAAACAGAAGTAATGGTAATTACAAAGAAAGTGGACCCACCAAATTGCAGCATCAAAGTTAACACGGCAATCCTCAAGCAAGTTGATGTGTTTAATTATTTGGGTACCCTGATAACAGCAAATGGAAGATGTATTGAAGAAGTTAAATGCAGAATAGCTTAAGCCAAGGCAGCATTTTACAAAATGAAGTATATTCTATTTAATCTTTCTCTGTCAGTTGAAATGAGAAAGATAATTCTTAAGAGCTGAATAAATCTATCTTAATTTTTGGAAGTAAATCATGGACAGTTGGACAATAAGTGAAAAATTATTTGGTTTTATAGATGAATAATGAGAATATCCTAAACAGATAAAAAGAGTAATAAAAATATCTTGAAATAAATAGACTCAGGAAGAGAACTGACCGCCCACATCAATAACTGACCGCCCACATCAATAACTGACCACCCACATCAATAACTGAGTGACCACATCAATAACTGACTGCCCACATCAATAACTGACCGCCCACATCAATAACTGACCGCCACATCAATAACTGACCCTCCACATCAATAACTGACCCCCCACATCAATAACTGACCGTCCACATCAATAACTGACTCCCCACATCAATAACTGACCCCCCCACATCAATTACTGACCCCCCACATCAATAACTGACCCCCCACATCAATAACTGACCGCCCACATCAATAACTGACCGCCCACATCAATAACTGACCACCCACATCAATAACTGACCACCCACATCAATAAATGACCACCCAAATCAATAACTGACCACCCACATCAATAACTGACCACCCACATCAATAACTGACCGCCCACATCAATAACTGACCACCCACATCAATAACTGACCGCCCACATCAATAACTGACCGCCCACATCAATAACTGACCGCCCACATCAATAACTGACCACCCACATCAATAACTGACCACCCACATCAATAACTGACAACCCACATCAGTAGATACAGTTGTTTTTTGGGTCTGGTCCTGTCATGAGAAGGAGAAAACTGGGGTATATCTTGACAGTGGGAAAAAGAGGCATGGGGAGACAGAGCAAAGATGCTGGACAGTTTGACATCATGGCATAGAAGATCATATGTGTCAGAATTGATAGAAAATACACAGGACAAAAGGATTGCCAAGCCTACTAACAGAACACGGCATGGACTATAAGAAGAAGAAAACATTAAAAAGCTTATACATAACCGAATAGTCACCAAATATTTGTAATTTTAAAAAATGCCCATTTCTGGACCGATATCATTTCTATAAAACAGTGTTGTGATGGGATCTGGGACTCGATCACACGCTGATGCTTGTCCTATGAAACACTTCCATTTGCTCTCAACACCAAAAGTTTAAAGAAGCTACATGTTATCAGTTGGAAAAACATGAATGGGGAAAAAACAAGTTTTTATGTTTGTGAACTTAAAGATGCAGACAGTAATTTCCACAAAATTAAAATTAAAAGACCCTTTTTCACATGTTTAAGTTTACTGGGCACATAAGTCTAGCCCTATATTTTATAGACCAACCCGCATTTGGTGGGTGATGTGTTCAACATCATGACGACTGCCTTTATTTCCCAGGACTTTTCCTGGTACCCATTTAAGGCTGTGTCGACTTGGGAGCCACAGTAATTTGTTTAAAAAGTCCGGCTCCGTTCAGATTTTTAACCCATGACCTTCCACAAAACATAACTGAAATTATAGTTTTTGTGACAATTTATGATGGATTCACTGTGACATAACAAACCAGAGTTTATTATCATCATCATCATCAGGTGCCTTGCCGACTGGCGTGGGCGATCATGCCTCTCCATAATCTGCGATCTCCTGCAGCATGTATCAGTTCGTGCCTCCAAGCCATGCAACAAGACTGTCAAGCATCTTCTCTCGTTGTCTTTCTCTATCTCTCCTTCCACATATCTTTCCAGTGGTCACAACATGTTCTATTTTCCCTCTTTTCATAACATGGCCAAAAAATGATGACTGTTTCCTTCTGATGTCTGTGATAAGTTGTCTTCGGGCTCCCGCCTCTTTCAAAACCTCTTGGTTGCTCTTTTTGGCTGTCCAAGGTATTCTAAACATTCTCCTGTAAAACCACATCTCCGAGGCCTCCAGAAATTGTTTGGCCTGCCTACCGATTGTCCAGGATTCACAGCCATATGTTAAAACTGGATGTATGTAGCAAGCAAGAATTCTTTTTCTAACTCTCAATGACAAGGATGTATTGCACAAGATGTTTCTCATTTTATAAAATGCAGTTTTTGACTGTCCTATTCTATTTCTTATCTCAGTTTTGCATCTTCCATCTGGTGTTATCCATGTGCTCAGATACTTAAATTTCTGTACTTGTCCTAAAATAACACCATCAACTTTTATTACACACTTAGGAATAATTCGTTTCTTTGATACCACCATTACTTTTGTCTCTCCATTATTCAAACTGAGGCCCATTCTTCCACTTTCTAACACCACAATGTCTATCATTTCCTGTAGTTCTTTCTGACTTGTTGCTATCAAGTCTGTGTCATCAGCATAACGTAAATTGTTTATATTGTGCCCACCAACCATAATTCCGGGCATACCAATTAAAGCTCTCATTATATATTCACTGTATATTGAAAACAAATCAGGTGACAGTACACATCCTTGTCGTACGCCCCTTTTTATGCTTTGAAATGTACCTAAACAGTTGTTAATTCTTATAGCTGCTGTTTGCTGCCAATACATATTCTTTATTATTCGTAGATCTTTCCCATTAATGTTTAATTTTTCTAACAGTTTGATTACTTCTTCATGCTTCACACAGTCAAATGCTTTTGTACAGTCTAAGAAGCATATGTACAAATCAGTCTTTACTTCTATAGCTCTTTCTGACAATGTCCTTAGGATGTATATGGCATTGTTTGTCCCTTTTCCTTCTACAAATCCACATTGTTCATTGCTGATTTCTGGTTTAATTTTGTTTCTTATTCTTCTCATAATTATTCACAGTAAAATCTTAGTCATGTGACTCATAAGACTTATTGTGCGATGGTCTTCACATTTTATAGTGCCTGGTTTCTTAGGCAGAGCTATAAATATGGATTTTAAAAGGTCATTTGGAATATACCCACTATTATAAATAGCATTTATTAGAGTTTATTATATATAATGAAATTGTCACCACACTTTTTATTAATTTAAAAAAAAATATATCACTGTGACAGAATAAATCAGGTTTTGTATAATGAAACTGTCATAGAACTTTTAATTATCAAAAAATATATGATCATGACAAAATATATCAGTTTATATATAATAAAACTGTCACCAAACTTTTCATTAATTAAAACAATAGGTGTGTGTGTGTGTGTGTGTATATATATATATATATATATATATATATATATATATATATATATATATATATATACACACACACACATATAATATATAATAATATATATATAATCATATCACTATGACAGAATAAATCACTTTACATATATTGACACTGTCACCAGACTTGTATTTGATGACCCAATATAATTTCTGGACAGACATTACGTTTATGAAAAGGCTATGGTGGTACGTGGAACTTGATCGAATGTTGCTGTTGCTACTGCTACCTGTGTTATGCATCACTTCCATTCGCATCAGTCACTTCACCTAAACGTTGATTTCTGCGCTTCACTTCGTTACTCGTCTTGGACTCTGAATCCTCTCTGAGTACCTGAAAAAATAAACAAATAGGATATAATGCGGGAAGAAAGAGATCAAGACAAGACGATATGGCAACAGCCACGATGTCGCAGCTGAATACGATGTGGAAGAGCAAAATCAGCGTCAAAGTCAATATTTAAAAACCTCTGGTATTGCCCATTTTCTTATACGGATGTGAGAGTTGGACTCTCACTGTGGAAATGGAAAGGAGGATTCAGGCTTTCAAATGTAAATGCTACAGACGCATTTTACAAATTAGTTATTTAGAACACAAAACTAATAAATATGTCAGAGACAAAATATACAAATATGCGGGACATCAGGAGCCTCTCTTTGCAGTGGTGAAATGTCGAAAGCCAACTTCATTCGGGCACATGGTGAGAAATGATTCAATTGCAAAGACTGCACTTCAAGGAACATTGGGGGGTAGTAGAAGAAGAGCAGTGCAAAGAAGAACCTGAAATGACAACATCAAGAAATGGACAGGACTAAGTTATCATACACTTTTTTCATCAAGCTGAAGACAGAGAAAGATGGCAGGTTTTATGTGCTAGTGCTTTCATCAATACAGCTCCACAACCCTAATGGGTCAAGGGTTATGTTATGTTATTAATGCAGTAAGCAGTTTTCAAACATGGAGAAAGGATTAACACAAAGAAAACAGCTGGTTCGTTTTTATCTGGGTATAGATGCAACATCACCACATTCGGGACAAGCCCAGGTGCTGTCTTAATATCCTACCCCAAAAAGGGGAAATCCACAGGTCTCAGGATAGTCTAATATTTTAGGGGGTGGTAGATAGGCTGTATGCAGTCATGGGACCTGGGCTGTATGCAGTCGTGCGACCTGGACTGCACTCTATCATGGGGCACAGATGGGTTGGGGTTAGGGCCACTTCTAGGTGTGTTGGGGTCATTAAAACCATCAGAAAGTCGGGAAACCCAGTCTTACTACCCTCTAAAATGGTGGACTGTCCTGTGACCTCATCTGGGGTAGGATATTACAAAAGAACCCAAGCCCATATTAGAGCTGTCACGTTCCCCAACAGCCAACAAAGAGTCTCAATACTGATGGTACCCGTTGTCATCTGGTTAACTAATTGTCTTGCCTCCCCCCCCCCCCCTTTCCCCCCCAAGTTGTGCCTAGAACCTGCAGATATTCCCCACTGCATCCTTCTCTGCAGGTATGGGTTTTTAATATCCCCCCCTTTACTTGTTACTTCATCTCACAAGCAAGAGATCCCCCTCTGCCTTGTACAGTGGCAGTGTGTCCCCAGGTGGCGCCAGACCACAAAGGAAACAGGATTCACAAACAAAGAAAAGTAGGAGAGTATGATACAGAGACACAAAGTAGCAATCAAAGGAAAGTATTACTTATAAAAACAGGGAGTAAAATTCAAATACAAATAAAACAGGACTGAGCCCACACAAACAGTGTCGGATGAAGTACCAGTCAAACATAAACAGTGTCGGATGAAGTACCAGTCAAACATAAACAGTGTCGGATGAAGTACCAGTCAAACATAAACAGTGTCGAATGTAAACATAGGGAAGCAGGAAACAAGTAGAAATCAAACACAAGGGTGTTAGATTCTGAAATAGACAAACAGAAATAAAATAAAAAAGAAGGGAAGAAGAGAAAGCTTAAGGAAACAGTAGCTGGAGTAATGGAGGGAATAAGAACTGAAAGAAAAGGAGGGAGAGAGGGGAAGATAAAGCTAAAGGAAATGTAAAGGGGCAGAGGTTGAAGAGCTGGGGGAAATAAGACAGAGAGAGAGAGAAAGAGAGAGAGGGCACTGAGGAAACAAGAGAGGGAAGGGGTAGCTGAAAGAAACAGAAGGGTGAGAGACAGTTAAAGGAAACAGAAGACAGAAAAGAGAGCAAAAAGAACAGGAGGGGGAGAGAGAGAGTATGTGTTGAAGCAGACATGAGGTCTGGAAAGAGAGCTGAAGGGGATTGTGAAGCTCCATCGACTAGAGACTGCAGTTATCCTAATCAGAAGTAGTAATCTCTCCTTTCTGTACAAGTACATTGGTATGGCTGCTGCATCAGAGCATGCATAGGAATGTGATGTGCAATAACAACAATGGTAGTAGTGTAAAACAGAACATAGGCATAGGTATGGCTATTAATTAATTATCCGCATTTGAAGAATTAAGGTTCCCTGAGAACTTAACAATTACAAAAGCTGCAATATGATACTGAATAAAAGTAAAAAGTAAAGATCCCTTTCCACGCCTTTAGGCGTATCGGGCATATGGAAAGAGCGCCGATATTTTTACAGACCATCAGTACTCGGTGGGTAATGTGGTCAGCATTACACCGTCTGTCTTTACTTTCCCAGGACAGCCCATCCTGGTACCCATTCTAGGCTGGGTCGACCTGCGACGCCCCATACCATGATAAAAATCCACGCAGCCAGCAGTGGGTTTCGATCGCGGTACGCTGGATCACGAGTCGGACTCGCAACGCCTAAGCCACGGACGCCGCATGATATTGAATGCTAGGGGACAATCCTGCCGTTACTTTTTCTGGACCGATGAAAGTTTAATTAGTTACCAAAAAGGACCCTTTTCCACGCCTTCAGGTATATTAGGCACACAGGGCTAGACATTTGTTTTAAAGATCAATCGGCAGTCGGTCGGTGATATGGTCAGCGCCATGCCGGCAGCCTTTACTTTCCAGGAATGTACCTGGTGCCTATTCAAGGCTGAGTCGATATGAGAGAGCCAAGCGTATTTTTTTTAAAAAGAAAGAAAAAAAGTTCCGGCTCAAATTAGGACCTGACCTACGATCTTCCGATTCCCAGGGAAGCGTAAATTAGTTATAAACCAAGCATAATGCGTTTCTTGGCACATGAATGATGAATTAAAAATTAAACAAAACAAAGCTTGCGCAGTGTTTGCAGAAGAAATCTAAACAACATTTGGGACAATCCAAGAAATATTCAGAAAAAACCTCTCTAAACAAAATGGGAAATGTTCAAATAGAATTAATCTAAAAAAACTTTATATATGTCTTGGCAGTCAAAATATTTAAACAAATCTAAACAAAGTTTACATCAGTTCTAGCAGTTGAACCGCCGCTCCCCCCCCCCCCCCCCCCCACCTTCCTTTTCAAGAATTGCAGTCTTTAGGATTAACTCATTCAGTACTAAACAATGTAAAATAACAAGCTAAACAACCAGAAAGTTTCAAGTCGACAGAATCAACTTCACTGAACTGTGTTTTATCCCATATGGCGTTGTCCCTCTCTGGGGAACAGTTAGCCACCCACTGAGTGTCATACACAAAGCACAAACTCTTTAGCTCCAGTAATGATCCAGGGATCTCCATAAAATCTGGACACATAAACCAAACAACACATTCGTGAAGCAAACTCAGGACCTTCTGAGCACGAGGCAAGCAGCTTGATTAAATGCACCAGAGAACCTCTATAGTAAAACAAAAAACATCAATAACCCTTTGGAGACTGAGCTTTCTGGAGTTTCAGTGTCATAAAGACGAAAATAAAGAGCGTAATTAACATATATAAAACTATACATAGTTGGGAAGGAAAATGAATGAACTAACAGAATATGTATGAATCAAACTGAAATCTCAACATTTATGCAGGCATTTTGTTTTAAAACTTGGGATCAAAGATGACTAACCTGAAAAATTAAGGTAAATTTTTGTATGGATGAAGCCTGAATAAGTCCTAAGACTTGTGTTTTGGGGAAATAAGGCACATGGAGGATGTTCAGACACTTCAGACACATGGTTCTACTAATTTTTATGCTTTCTGCTTTGTTTCGGTTGCTATGACGCAACAGGCCTTTTTGCCATCGTTGTGCACAGGTAAGCCCACAAAACAATGGCTGTAAAATTACAGAACACATCAAACTTTCTCGAAAGCCATCATTATCATTAAACATCCTACATGTGCAAGAAATGTGAGAAGCAATATGATTGGCTGGTATGAAAACCTGCCAGCCAATCTCAAGGCTTTTATTACACAGGGCTGACTGATCGGCCCAGGTGTCCTTTTGGCTACTTTGCGTTGGGTCGATATTTCGGCTGCGTCGTCTCAAGAGGGATGAATTTCACCAAACTTTCTCTTTCTATCATACTTATTTTTTCAACTGTTTGCTAATCAATGATATGAAAAAGGTCGCTTTTGGGTGGGGTGGGGAGGGGGGGGGGGAGCGCTACAAGGGTAGATGGGACAAAGTGAAGGAAGAAAATCACTCAAGGACAATTCTTACTGGCAGCATCATTACTTTGAGCTCCAAACAGCTGAAACAGCAATAATTACACCATTTGAAATGCCATTGCAAAGATCTTTAACTCATATCACAGCAAGTAATTGATTACATACTCTCTGACTACTCTCTACCTATACCTGGGTGTTGCTGCGGAGATCAAACACCCCCAGCACAGCTGCTGACAGGGGAACAAAAGTAAGCACCTTAAGAGGGGGTGGTCCTGGATGGGCGAAGTAGAAGACACCATTAGCCAAATTGGAACATCAGGCCCGGTGCTGAATGGATATAAACAGCAGAACAATTGCGACGGCATATTTAGGCAATAATCACCTGGCAAGTATGGCACAAAATGGAGCCAAATGGCTACTGATGCTAAAAAAAGGGTCCTCAACCACAAGTACACTGGACAAGGTGATGTTGTCATATATATATATAGATGGCTCAGTGATTCATGGGGTGTGATGTGGGTGGGCATGCACAGCCCAGGTGAATAGGAAGAAAGTCAAAGAAGAACGGCAGGCATTTAGTTCCATAATATTAACATGATGACGGTGACAGCAGCAGCCATAAGGGCATATGCACGGCTGGCAAAACTAAAAGCAACATACATAGTGATAGTGAAAGATTCAATGAGCATGCTTAAGAAAATCCAAACTGGCAAACTTTGACTAGAATAGCTTGACAGCATCCAGACGTCCTGCTTGAAGAAACTATCTTGGGTGTAGACATTAGGGTAAACGAAAATGAAACAGCTGACAGACTTGT